AAAAAATCGGTTGTCTGTAAAGTCGGTTTACTGACGATAGTTGAACGTGACAACGTCATAAGAAAATAGTGATGGAATGGTTTCATTTTTCAAAAGAGAATTTTAATTTTACTTGTTAGATATTTTGTTTGAATATAGAGGAGGTAAATAGAAATGTATTATTGTATAGCAGCTGTCCACGCGGACGCATCGCTCACTCAAGTAGGAGAGAGACAGATGTCGAACGCTGCCGAACGCGGAGACCGATTGTGCCTCTTTGTCGCTCGTTTCGCGCTCTCGCTTGTACTTCAATTCTTAAATGGAACGCCTCAGAGCGAGGTAACGCCGCATGAGTCATGTTTTTTCGTGCGTGCAGCCGGCTCCATCGAATTATAAGACTTTGTCACGTCAATAATCAATAATAAACAAAATTAGTGTTCAAAAGTGTTTTTTTTTAAGGATAAGGAATAGTACTGACCTTTAACTTGCTCTTCAATTGTATGCAGGTTACAGGAATTTCATACCTCGAGGCAGAGTCAGACCTTATTGGGGTTTTCCCCTTGTTGGCTTCTGGCGCGTATTCACTAGAAATTGGTAGTGGCGCCAGAACAATTTTTGATTTTGTCACATAATTTAGAGCTAGTTACGTTTTGGCCTTCTTCTTGTTAACTTGCGTTTTTAATTCATATTTTCTTCGCTGTGCCTGCAGTTGTAACCCGTTATTTTATAGTTAATATTTCATTTGAATTTCATTCGCTCCGTTAAAACCAATACCTTGAAAAAATAAGGCTCCTGATTTCACGGCAAACAATTAAGTAGTTGAGAAAAAAAATGTGAAAGGACAATCACAAAAACATCGTAAGGCAGATACATATACCTAAGTACTGGTAGCTACTCATTATCATCATCATAGAGTTTTAAGACTGTATGGACATCATGCACCTGCATTCCAGACGTGACTATTTGTGAACAGCAATCTAATCCGGGCCTCTCTCTATTCCTGTTTCTAATATTTTTCTAATTACCTTGATCTTCATGTCTCAGAAAGTGTAACATGTTCTACCTCTACTATTCCTTATTGACATCCGCACTACATCTTTATTTCTAACCTTCTTCGATACACTATTTTCATATTCCTCCTACAATACCTCATCTCATACACTTCTAATTTTTCCTTTTCTTTCACATCCATCACAATTCGCATGCATATTGGCGTGCTCCAAACCCATACTGAAGTAAGGTAAATCCGGGTAAGGTCAAAAGTATAAATTTGACACATTTGCGGGAATATACTTCACACGAGGAAGGGTAGAAAGGTTCTAATAGAAGGCGCGTTTTAAACACAAATACAACAGAAATTTTAGTTTTATTGCCACAAAAACAAAAAGAATATTCTGCAGGATGTCAATGTTGCAAAATAGGTATCAATTCCTTAGCAAAAGTTAATTAGTACAGTAGGGAAATCCCAACCATGACTCGCATGCACTCTTTTCATTTCAAAACTGAAAAATATTTTAATCGAGCTACGTATTGGAAATTCCTTGGGACATATAAATCCCCAATCAACGCATACTCTTTTAGCCTATACGCCGGTTGAAAATGTCAATACATACATTCAAGGCAAAATTACTGCAATCTGACTTGGATTTTCCCGACTATTAAACGTAAATAAAGCCGAACTAACAGCAAAACACAATTTAGGCTTGTTTAGGCGAAAAAAAAAACAAAAAAAGTAATAATAATAATATTCTTGGGAATAGTTTTCCCCCGATTTGTGGGTGAATAAAAATCAATATTAATTAATGCCAAACAGTTCAGAACCAAAAATTTAGAACACAGACTAAAAAGAGTTTAACAAACAATAAAACAACAAAACTGCGTTGTAAA